ACTAAGCTAAATCTCTGACCTTTTTTTTTTTTAACCATAGCTAGTTGGAGTCCTAAATGACTCACTTATCTGTATGTCAAATTATTTTCCTCTGCTTGGGAAGTTTTCTGCCATTACTTCTGTAAACAGTTATTTATGTCATTTTCACTATCTCCTGTTTCTTCATTGACTCTGATCAGACTCTGATCTGAAATCATTCTCATGGTCACTTGCTATTTTTAAGAAATCTTTCTTTTCCTGGTCACTAATCACAATCACAATCCTGTCTTCTACATGTGATATTGCGTCCTCACATTGTCTCATTCTGCTGCATAAACTTTCAATGGATTTTTTTATGTCCTGGATATCTGTTTGCATCTGTTTAATGGATTCCATTTGTTTCCTATGCTGGAATTCCATCATGTTCCTCAGCTCCTCTATTTTTTTATCTGTGGCTGCTCTAGAGTTATTAATCATGTCTTTCACTGTGGACACAATATCTGTTGCTATCTGAGAAATTATTTCTGATTTTATATTTTCAGATCCTCTTTCATTGCCAGTTTAAGGAGTCCAAGTGGTTGTTTCACAATGTTCGATCTCGTTGCCCATTGGGGTTGCCTTTAGTGATGTGGAAGTCTGGTTTTGAGTCTTCTTTAGGTGTCTTCTCATTTCAACCAATGCAGTCTACTGTGCCTTTATTGAGGTGACTCTTTGGTGTCCTAGTGGGCTTCAATTCTGAACAAGCCTCAGAAAGGCCTTCTCTCTACTCACTACTCTTCTAACTGCTGCACTAATTCTGGTGTTATCTGGGTAGCTTTCTGGCTGAGGCCTGTGTGCCTGTTCAGCTGTTGTCTGGGCAGGCATCTAATTTCTTTTTTCATCATCTGGCATGGTGTCTTTTGTGTTTATCCAGGGCTGTTTGTCTGCTTAACACCAAAAAAGGGAAAGAGCAAATTCTTCCCCTAAGGAGGTACAGACATGATTAAGAAATAAAGAACAAAAATGAGAAATATTGGGAGGGTTGAATGCCTTTGAAAGAACCAAGTATGTGGTTTGCTTGTAGACTAAACCTGTTTCATTATCCCAAAAGAATTTTCTTGAATCCCTTAGAAGGGATTGAAATTTTTTTCAATCAAAACTACTCATAGAATTTTCTTATACTTACTGCAGATTTGCTCACTGGTGCAGGCTACTGCTCTTCCCTCATATTTTCCATGGATTAACTCCATCTTCCCTCTTTCCCTGTGTGCATAAATACTTATTGGGAAGCTCCCTTGACCATCCCATTTGGAAAAGAAAACATCCTCTTAATTCCTATAATCCTGAGCTGTCAATCCCAATGAGAAAGGTAGTGTGCACAAAACAATAATTCTGAACAAGATTTTAAATATGTCATCATTTACTAGATCTATAACCTTGGATAAATCTAGAGACTGCTTATAATCACTTCTCTCCTCATCCTGAAAATAAATTAAATAATATCTATTTTACAGCTCAAACATGTTACTGGGGTAAAGTGGTGTAATGTTTGGGAAATGTTTTGTATGTAGCAATTGATTATACTTAGGCATCAGTTCCAACAAATTTAGTGTGATTATTTACATTCTAGTGATCTAACACTATTCATTCATGTCTTTCTTAGTGAATGAATGCAGTTAAATGTATATATACTCTTTGGTGGTGAAAATAATACATGTTTATAATAGACAACATTTAGTTCATTCAGCTATCAAAATGAAAATTAAGTGTAATGACAAAACAAAAAAATAACTAAGTCAAGAAATAGTGATATTAACATTTTAATTTTGTATTGTCTTACACTATCTTTATTTATGTATGTAGATATGTATAGTTTTATAAACTGCTTAGTTCATTCATCATTTTCTATGTATATTCCTATTCCCTGGTTCTCTTTCATGTCCTCCAGCCCAGCTACAGCACTTTGATTTTGTAGTAAGCTACATGCATATGACTGTACCGTGCATAAAACAAGTGTTTAATAATTTGACTCTATTCATAGAATGACTTTAAACACTTTGATTGCCTGAATCTAAAATTAAATAACACAGAACATCTGTCTTTAAAGACTGCTCCGTTCTTACTGAGGAGTCCAACCAATATATGCAAAACTGACTTACTTTTCTTTTTCCTTTTCTTTCCATATAGTTTGTTGCCCAGCCCAACTGTCAGCAGCTGCTTGCATCTCGTTGGTATGATGAGTTCCCAGGTTGGAGGAGAAGACACTGGGCAGTGAAGATGGTGACATGTTTCATAATAGGACTTCTTTTTCCTGTTTTCTCTGTGTGCTACCTGATAGCTCCTAAAAGCCCACTTGGACTATTCATCAGAAAGCCATTTATCAAGTTTATCTGCCACACAGCCTCCTATTTGACTTTTTTGTTCTTGCTGCTGCTTGCCTCTCAGCACATCGACAGGTCAGACTTGAACAGGCAAGGTCCACCACCAACCATCGTCGAGTGGATGATATTACCATGGGTCCTGGGTAAATGTGTTACTATAGAAAATATAATAAAAACCTGTTACTGCCATGGAATTTTGTTGCTTAGAAAATAAAATCCACTACAGTTTAGGACATAAGAATGCTTAAAATAGGTCTGACCATGGTAGTTCTAGGCCTTATCCTCAGATCTAAATGTTTTGCAAGTTGTGGTGGGTGGACCTGTTCCCAAATGGAACCTATGAAGAAAAACCTTAAGTTTTAGAATTCCAAAATTTATTGACTTCATGCCCCACAAGTGATTCTCTGGATTTCTTTGTTTCTCTTTTAAAGGTTTTCAACATGTTTCATTGGCCATATATAATCATCCTACTTTTCTTAATTTCTGAAAAATAAGAATAAATCACTCTGAGGAATTTGTGATTCTATGCAGAAAGTAACTGCAATCATTTTTGACAATCAACCCACTTAAATTGATCTTTGAAATGTCTATTTTTTATTAATAGTAAGAAATGATGTTATAGAATATTTTCCAACTCTCTGTGTCCTTATCAAAGAAGGAAAATTACTGAAGATCTTCTGTAAGTTATAGTAAGATAGAAAGCCTTATTTAGTGAAAACCTTATTTTCTCTTTCTCTTCTTGTAGATGCCTTGGTTAAAATTTACATTTTAATTATTCTTTCTTGTATCCTACTGTGGCTTGCTAAATAATTATATTTTCTCAATTTAGCTCATCACTTAAAACCTCTCTGGTATCACATCCATCTCATTAGAAAATATATGATAAATTTCCTGATTCATAATCTTGGAAGATCAGTTTGGATTAACTTCAAAACTACTGAGGGGACTATAAAATGAGGGAAACCCAGGGAAAAATATAGCCTATCTAAATCTGAGATAGATCTAATATTCATTTCTAAAGATTATAAGTACTCCAAGTAATAGAATAAGAACAGTTCATAGTAACAAAATTTAATGCATTTTAAATGTTACTAAGATTTTTTAAAAAAACTTTTCATGTGAACATTACTTTAGAGTAGATTCTAATTAATCTGAAGTGTGTAAAGTGTGATGTTGCTTTAACTGTGTCCTTTTGAATAAAATAATTATAACATTGTCTTTGATATTGAAGATAAAATGATTCTGCCTATTTCCACTTAAATTGAGCATTACACATGTGGAATAATTTTTAATGTGAGTTTTTTTCAGAGAAAATTTGTTTGGAACAATTCTAATAGAAGTGTTTAGGAGGTTCAGTCACCTGAATTACATTTCTGAAAATTCTAATGTCCTCAATAGAACATAGAATATTTAATTTAGAAAACATTGTAGATACAGTGCAGCATAAACAGTTATATTACTGCTAAATGGAATTGTGTTAAGTACTTTGTATCCAGTAAATGCAGTGCAATGTGATTGCGATATGAGAGAAAAACAAAAGAAGCAAACAAGCCAAAGGTCCTTGCTCTTACAAAGCCTAAATTTTACTAGAAGAAATGTATAGTAAGTAAACAAATAGATCCATGGTCATAGTGACAGAAAATGGGAAATAATATAAAAATAGAAACTCTAAACTTTAAATAACTGCACAATTAAAGTAATCATTGGCTGCTTCCTACATGTAAACTTTGTAGCAGAATAGCCTTGAAAGTTGTCTGAAAGAAACCACATCCAAACCACAGTGGCATGATTAAAGAAGGTACTATAGACTTAATGGTGTGAAATGTCTGCTACTGGTAACATTTTCTCAGGATATTTTCAGTGTAAGGAACTAACTCATCTAGGAACTTTTAGGATGAAAAACTATTTCCTAGAATAAGAAAAAAGGTGCCTGTTAATGATTATCTTACTTAAACAACAGGGCATGTGAAAAAGTGTTTATATATTAAGTATAATTGTCAAAATAATTATATTGTTCAGCAAGTCTGGTGAATTGTGAATGCCTCATAATTAAGACTGAATTCTTAGGGCTTTAACAGATCTATGACTATAAGGGGTATACTCTATGTTACTGAACTGTTGTGAAAAAGTCATCTATACTAGAATACATGGAACAAATCTAGCACTAGGAAACTATGAAATTATAGGCAATAATGAATTCTCTGTATTTTCAGTACCATCACCTATAAAATGAAAGATTTAGAGTAGATGATATCTGAAGACCCCCCTGAATCCTATCATCCTGTCTGCTGAGCTCTGATTATTAGGGACGGAAAATTGTTCTTTATGGTGCTAAAGACATCAGGGAAGGGATGCTTTAAACTTTTACCAAATATGATATAAACAAAAGTCATGCTGTGATTTGATGACTATATTAATGATCATCTGTTTTTCCACCGTGTTATTCTATCTGATAAAGTGATCATGCTCACAAGTTTCAGCTCCTTAATAAGACATTTCATATTACACCAATTATAATTTTTTTTACTATAAAAACAAGATTGAATGACTTGTTCAACCTTGTTCAATAGAAAGGATGTGGGTTGTTAGAATTAATATTTGTAGTGAGAGGTTGGAACTCTGTTCATGGGTTTCCTAAATCTTGAACTGACTTAGATTTTCAATCCATGATACCTCTGTGAACTACATGTTATGTAAAGTATTATCATTTTATTTGTGCTAACTTTGCTTAACCTACATTTTCAGAGGCTATCCCCCACATCTGTGATTATTTCCTTTATAAAAAGTACTCACTTTTATATCACCTATTTAGTTTACCCCACTGAAAAGACTTTTTTTATATATTTATATCATAAATTTTCACTTTTTCAAAAAGTTCTGACTTTATTTTAGAGCTCATCCTTTCAAATCAATCCTTTTTATCTCAAGAAGTATGATTTTCTGAAAGAATTTATGTTCTTTTATGCCTTTTATACCTTTGCTATTTTACCCATAAGAATTACCCTCAATCTCATGGTATCTTGTCATGTAGTGCAATGATAGAATAATATTTCTATATTTTCTTCATAGTCTTTCCTATTGAAATTCAATGTTGTATTAACTATTGAAATTGAAATCTGTTGAGTATTATACCTTTAGAAATCCATCTACAATGACTCTTACATCTCTCACAGTGACATCATTGGTAAGATAACCCATCAAGATTTTAAAATTATTTTTACTTCAGACTTACTTGCATTGAATGTTCCTAAAACTTTTTTCCTATTAATGAACATGCAAACATTTTTTGTTTGTCTCTAGTCAAGATGACTTTTTAGCATATAATTAGGGCCGGGAATTTAGCTCAGTGGTTCCAGTGCCTGCCTCTCAAGCTCAAGGTCCCGAGTTCGATCCCCAGTACCAAAAAAAAAAAATCCAAACACCTCATACAAGGATCAAACTTATGATTTTGGTCATCTTGACCTACAATTCTAAGCAATAGAGAGAACTAATGATAAATAATTCTGTTAGAACTTTCTCAATAGCTAGGTAACTCCAGACAGAGAGGTACCAATATACATCTCAGACTGTGTAATCACGCATTCAAACTAAAAAAGCAAAATGCTTGTGTGATCACACATTCATATGTGTCTGATGAACTGTACTTTCAATAGCCTAGAAAGGAAATTGTCAAAGAACTGAACAATAATTAGAAGCAACCCAGGGTATGAGTTTTCTATACTTTCCTGCACTGGGACTCAAGCTTGGAACTTATTCAGTGTTGATTTTCTCATATAATATTAGGTATATAATATCAATAGAATATTTATTTGAAAAATGTGTTTTTATAAGAATATTTATGTACATGCCGGGGATTTAGCTCAGTGGTTCTGTTGCTTGCCTCACAAGCGCAAGGACCTGAGTTTGATCTCCGGTACCAACAACAACAACAACAACAAAAGAATATTTGTGTACAAAGTAAATAAAGCATATTATATGCATTATGAAAAATCATCCAAATTCTAAAAGTAGTTTTATCTTAAATAGAAGTTGTTTCTGCAGATAATACAACATAAAATATTAATAATAATAGTAATAAACCTAAGGATCCTAGTTTTCAGGCTTTCACAGTCTACTTTAAATTTTTCCTTAAAACTCATTATAATTAAATTAAGAATGAGATGCGTTTCACAGCATATTCCCCTAAACAAAGAAATGTATGTATATATAAAATTTCCAAGTGTAGACTTATGTAATCAACTTAGAGAAAACAATTACAAAATTAATAATATTGTTTTAGAAAGAAAGTAGAACTTTGATGAAGGTTGTTACATTAACAAAGCAGGAAATACTTGTTCCCCGTGAGAAACAAATCAGCAGCTGAAGTGACTTGACATTACGTGTATGCCTAAGAATACACCACAATTAAATAGTATGTAAATCTATGCACACTGAGCATGATGATGAGAAGGGTGAACTGAGGAGAAGATGGAAAGGGAGGAAGAGCGGAAAGCTGAGCCAAAAATAGCTTCTATTAAATTCATAGGCATCAAGTAAGAAGTGCTCATAATATCCATCTTGCCTCTAACACATACTATTTAGCAGTTTTTCTTTAGCAACATTGGCTTCTCATTTCTATCATTTATTTTAAATTTTTTAATTTGAAAAGGTTGATATAAACAAGCCTGAAAAATTTAGCAAGGCCCACCAAATGAAAGATGTGAAATGAAAAGTGGTGATCACATTTTCATGGAGACATTCATAGGGACAAATATCATGCATACTTATTTTTCTTTTCTTATGATATCTTATCTTATTTTGGTCCCGAGGAGTGAACACAAGGCCTTTCACATGCTAAGCATAAGCTCTACCACTGAGGTACACCAGCAGACACTCATTTTTTCATCTTTTGTATGATAGTTATTAAGATAGGCTTCAACTATTCACAATTTTATCTTCACCCCTGAATTACCTATGCACTCGAGCTTCCTGAAATGATATACTTGCCAAGTGTGGTGGCAGTTGGGAGGAAGATCGCTGCAAGTTCAAGACCAGCCTGGGCTACATAGTGGGCTACAAGATCAGCCTAAACTATATAACGAGATTCTGCCTTAAAAAACAAAAAAACAGGCCTGGAGATTTAGTTCAGTGGTTCCGGCGCCTG